AGGAGACCCGGCGGTGGAGGAGCTCCCTTCCACAGCTGTCCTCGGCCCTGGCTGCCCCTCGGGCCTGGGGTCTCCTGCTGGCCCACACAGGCCGCTGGGCCTATGACCTGCCATTGTCACCGGCATGGCGTCGGAGGGGGCTGTGGGGACGACGCCGTAGAGATGCCTGCTCCTCTCGCCTGGGAAGCCTTGCACTCCTTGCAGCGAGTGTCCCAGGGGATTTAATCTGGGTCTGGTTTAATCACTCTAAGCATTAAATAGAAATGAGTAACGTTCCCCATCAGAGCCTCTAAGGGGGCTAGCAGCAGCATATGCTGGTGTTTTGCTGCAGCGTGTAATGTGGAGCTGACAAAATGCTTTTGGAAAGGTCTGATACCAGTGGGGAGCAACACGTGTCCTAAGGGAACCTGCCTTATCCAGGGACACTCCAGACCGGGTGAGCTCAGGGAAGCTGGAGAGGCGTGAGGAGGAGCTGCTGTGCTGACTGTGCAGGTGTCATCATCTGCTCGTCACAACCACCTCCCCAAGACCTTCTTCTTGGCAGTCTGCGCACACCTCCTGCTGGCTCTTGCCTTAGGCTCTGATGAGAAATGTTTGGGGCAGAATCCTTCTCCACTGTGTCCACTGACTCCAAACTGGAGCTCCTCAGCGCAGATGGTCTAGAGCATCATCGCTCAAGAACCATTACTCAGCCCCAGGACAGACAAGTAAGCTCAAGCCACCTTTACAAGTTCACTAGTACCTGGCATCTTCCAGCCAAGGATCCCACAGCCCTTAGTGAGCCATGATGCAGCTCTTGTACAGGCACTGTCACCGCTAGCTGGGCAACCATGTCACACGCCGACGGGTGAATGCCTTTATGGAATGAAATGTTACTCGCTAAGTATTACTTTTTATCAGGCAAAGTTGAAAGGCCTGAGAGGTCAGGGGAGATGAATTAGTGGTTCCTAATAGCTTGTAAGTGTGTGAATTTGTGAATAAGTAACCTTGGCTTGAACGGTCACAGTGGACTCGTTCCTCTCTGCAGAATGAGACTGCCTGGAGGAACTGCTCTGCTTGCTGTTGCGCACCGCACATGCATGGGACAACACTCACGCCGTACCATGAGGAGCCAGCGGGCTACATCCACTGTGCAAGGAAACAACAGTGCAGGCCTTGCTTCATCTGACTCACGATTACTTATGTCTTGAATGGCAACCCCAGGCAGACCCGGGTGCGCTGGATGGGCCTGTCACAAAGCACCAGCTGATCCTTGTCCCTGAGAGCTGGTAGACAGGTGTTGCAAAGCATGTACCTGCTTGGAAATCTGGCTGGGCAGAATAATAATTACACTAACAAAATGAAATTTGAACTGTTTATTGGCTCAGGCAAAGTAAGGTTTCTGGAAACCCACCCTTCACTGTTCCTTTCTCAGTCTCAGCTACAGGGACAAAGCGTTAACTGCAGCCTGGACAGGTAAGTCATTACTTCTTTTAAATGTTACTTTCTAAGCTGACAGCATTGCTGTAGGCAGGCTCCTAAGGTCATTTGACAAGTCAGCAGCAGCCTGGGAGAGAAGACAGAAAGCTTGTTCTGTGCTCTATAGCCAGCCCCCTGCCTTTTCTCTCCAGCAGACCACGGCACCAGGGTCTGCAGTCTCTGTGGCCAGAGGGGCAACAATGTCCAATCTCCAAAACGTTAAAGGCAAGTACTATGCTTCGTTAAAATTAAAGCCAGTGTCCCCGACAGTCTAAGCATTTACTCCTAAACATCTGCTGGCAGATGCTTCCATACCGGGGTCTAGTCTCTGTGGCCAGAGGGGCAACAATGTCCAATCTCCAAAACGTTAAAGGCAAGTACTATGCTTCGTTAAAATTAAAGCCAGTGTCCCTGACAGTCTAAGCATTTACTCCTAAACATCTGCTGGCAGATGCTTCCATTTCCCCTCCGTCCTCTTTGCTCCGCAGGGACTGCTGTGTGCTGCAGCAGTCTGCCTAGCACTCTCACTTGCGTGTTTATCCTGTTTGGTGTCCCACGGTCAAAACGTTAAAGGCAAGTACTATGCTTCGTTAAAATTAAAGCCAGTGTCCCTGACAGTCTAAGCATTTACTCCTAAACATCTGCTGGCAGATGCTTCCATTTCCCCTCCGTCCTCTTTGCTCCGCAGGGACTGCTGTGTGCTGCAGCAGTCTGCCTAGCACTCTCACTTGCGTGTTTATCCTGTTTGGTGTCCCACGGTATCGCAGAGAGAGTCAAGTGTCTCATCAAGGACTGTGTCTAGGCAGGGTGCTGATGTGAGCTTCACTGATGAATCACACCGAGAAAAGATAAATGATGGGAAACGTAACATCCCCGTCTGGCCAGGAATTGAATTTTAATGAGGTTTTATGCTGTACTTATCATTCCATGATGTCAGTGCTTGTCCACAGTACAAGCTGCCTCTTACTGTCAGCAGGATGCCAGTAAAGGCCCCTGAAATGGAGAGCTGGGAATGATGCTAGTTGAGGCCAGGAAAGCTATGTGCAGCACTGTTTTGGGAATTTGAGGCCAAGAATAGCTTCAGGCAGGTTTTCCTCATCGTGGCTGAAATTATCCACGTCTGGGGCACCCAGCAGCATATTGGTGGGAATGATTTGTGGCTTCAGTACAGGTGAAGTCAAGGAGACTCCAAAACCGAAGATTAGAACATGAATCCTAAAAGCAGATCTCAGGCCTGCTTGTTTGAGCAAACGACTCTGCGAGGAGGGAAGTAGTCTTCCAAGCTGCTAAATTGAATTCAGATGTCAAAAGGCACATAGAGCACCCAGACCGCCTGTGGCCAAAACAGGGCACCTTCATATGAACGTGCATGCTACCAAACTTGTGACAGTGAACTTTTCTTGGCAGTGGAAGAGACATCTAGGTAAATGCAAATACTGACTGCGTACAGATAGTAACATACACTATGAAAGATCCTGCCATGGTGTCCACCCCATTGACACAGCTTCACCAACCCTTTGGCGACAGAGATCTCCAACATTTTTCTAGGCTGCAAGCCCCAAAGCAAACCACTGAATCAAAACGCTGGAAAACGGCCCGGACCTCCCTCTGCACTGCTGGGAAGAATGGAACAGCCGGTGCCGAGATGAAAGGTATGGCAATTTGCCTCATTGATGCTGTAGGTATGTCATCCATGTCATGTATCTGTCCTGCTTAAGTCTTATCTGTTTGGATGTTGTCCTTTTATTTCTCAGTATTAAATTAACCCCGTCTTGCATGACCAATAATTGCACACTCCTCTAATAATTGCATGTTTTTTCTCTCTACTGCCCCAATAATAGGCTGAGGGAATCACAAGCTGTAGTTTCACTTGCATTTTCTTTAGCAAACTTTTTTTTTCTTCAGGTGGAGTTATTTTTAACCTGGCTCAATTCCCAAATTAGATTCACTGCCTGACAGCATAAGAAGTTGTACCAGTGCACTTGGGAGAAACAGGGGAGCGTGTGCTACAGATGTCAAAGAAGGTCTAGGTGTCCAGAGGGAGGGCTTGGGCTAGCACTGCTGCCAAACGAAGTGCTTGTGGAAATACAGCCTTGGCTTCTAATTTTTCATGTGCCTTCACAAAGAAGTCTAAGGAATTGTCCTAATGCACACAAGAGCCAAGGAGGCTGTTTACATCTGAGTTGAGAACACACTACCAATCTTGGGAATATATGCGATTTCCTAAGATTTGTCCTCGGCCTACCTTAGGCAGACAAAGCCACTAGGTGTAGGTGGTCATTACCGCTCTCTGCCACTTGAGGTCACCCCTTCACC